ACAATTTATTGATATTAAGCAAATCCTAAAGTTTCAACAAGTTCATCATTGTTTCACCTTAAACAACTGCAACTTTTTCCTGTCCCCTAAAGCTTGTTTTGAACTGTAAGCAAAAGGAATAAATTGAAATAAATGCTCAAGACTCTAAGAAAATGCTCTGATGACTTCTGTGACGTAACAGCAACTTCAAATGTAACAAACGAAATAATCCACGCTCCATCTAGAAGCAGGAAAGGAGACTTCTCTCCCTACACAATACTGAGAAGTATTTTATATGGATAAATAACCATAATTCTCCTTTAGTCAAGAGCAGCACTTGCAAATTAAACTGTTTTCAAATGTCATTTTTGTACAAAGAGAGAACAAGAACTTCATATAAATACTGCAAAAAAGGGAAGATACAGGTTTATACCTGACCAGAAATTTGAAAAACCATTGAATGGTTCTCTCTTCCAGTTCCCAAAGCCCTCTGCATTGAAAACCACATTTAAATAAACCACATTTAAATAAAATAGGCAGAAGGCAGTTACATCAAATGCAGGGACATACACAAAAGTTCCCAGAAATGCTCCCTCGTGGGGTTATTTGTGAGAATCCCCTGCTCATGAACAAATTCAGATATTAATGTACATTTTCCTGCAAAAATGAAGACACAAGTACATCCCAAGTTCCAAAACCAGGCTTTGCTGCTTTCCAGCTCCAAAGGAGGCTATTGGGAATTATTATTACCATGGGAATTCTTGTTCCCTGAGAAGGCAGGAGGAAATGCCCAGGGCTGGGAGATGCCAGGAGTGTTCCTGCCATTGTCCCTGGTTCTGGGGCAGGGGGGAATTGCTGTCCTGCCTCTGAGCCAGCTCCCAGCCCCTCTGGATGCTGGGATCCCCTGGATCCGTGCTCTGGGAACGTTTGCTCCTTCCCCAGGGCTGCCCTAAGAGACTCTACAGGAGAATCATCAGCTGATGCTTAATGCACATTAAATCCTGAACATTCCCACCCCTTCAATGTCCCCAGATTTGTCCCCAGATCATTTCTGTACAACTCAAGTGCATCAAGTGAGGAATTAAACCCCTCACATTCCGCTGTGAGGCTGCAATGGTTACCAGATAGAGCTGGGAGCATAAATGCACATCAAGTGAGGATACATGCCTTTCAGGAAGGCAGCTTTTTTATTCCATAAAAAGGATTCTCTTCCAATGAATGGTGTTCCTTGCTGGAAATTAAAATTAGTTCACAAATTGCTGCTGTTCCATTTAATGATAAGATGAATGCACAGTGCTTTGAATTTTTTTTTTTATCTGCAGTAATTTTTGCTCTTTCATTCATCATTTCCTTAATTTTGCAATTCTTTAAAAATGAGCTTTTAATTCTTCACATGTATGCAATCAGTTAGAAAACCCACATGGCAGCATTGATTGCTCTGGTAGGCACAAGATTTCAGTAAGTTTGGGCACGTTAATGTCTCTTATTGGGGTAAATAATCCAGATGAAAAGCAGAAAAGCCAAATAAAGTCTCCATTAAAGGATACACCAGTTCATGGGGGACACATTGGAGAAATAAATTCATGTCAGATATTTTATAAAACATATATAATAACATAACCAAATAACATATATATATAAGAACACATTATAATATTTTTATATATTATATATTATAAGAACACAGCCCAAGTTATTCTTGTCCAGGTAGCAGGAGGACAAAAAGCACAAACCCAGTGACCAAATACGTGCCCTGCTGCCCCTTGGAACAGCATTCAAAGCTCCTGGTTATTTCTAGAGGAATAAATTGTTTTCTGGAGGAATAAACTTTAGTGTGTGTGCATGCTGGAAGGGAGAGAGAAGTGGTATTTATTATTCATGTATTTATAGTCCTAAATCAATATGAATGTTAACTCTGTACAAATTTCCATTTGTTCCCTCTGAAATTGCTTTTCAATTCAGTTGTTTTTAATCTCTGTTAATAACATTTACATTGGAACTCCATTAATTTGAATACCCTTCTCAATTCCCAGCTAGACACTCGTGTTTTAACATCACTGAAATCAGACTGTGCACCTACAGCAAGCAAATATAAAATTCAGAGTTCTGCACTTTAGAAAAGATCTTCAATTGGAGGCACAAACACTGAAATAAAACCAGGAGTGAAAGCCAGATTTGGCATAGTCGGTAATTACTTTTCTAAACTGTTAAATCAGACTCCCCAGTGCTGAATGCAAAGGGCTAATTATAAAAGAAACCTCTCCCACTTAAAGCTGAATTATTACAAATTCATCTGCAGGTGAAATACAATTCCAGCCACGGATCAGATAATGAAAAAGTTGTTTCAGGAATCACACGTAAGTTATTTAATACAGCAAGAAATTCAAAGAAGGTGCATTTTAATCCCTTTATTTTCTTCAGCCACACTGTACTGAGATGAAGAACTGTATGTGCTAAATAAAAAACTGATTAAGTGAAGGGAAAAATTATCTTGCTTAGAAACTGACCAAGAAAAAAAAACAAAATGAAAATGCAGGTAGAAGTTCTGTTCATCTTTTTGTTACTCACAGTACCAAAAGCTTATTTGGTTAAAAAAAAAAAAGAGTTAGAAAAACTAAAATTACTTATATTGTCTGACAGGATTTGCTTCTGTATTTTGAATATTAATTTCATTAATAGAAATTCATATTATGAATGGTATTTTTCTTGTCACTGGCCTCCTACATTAATGTGACACTCCAAAGAGCATCATCCTCACATCCTCTGAAGAAAGTCTCATCCTCAACTACTGGTGAATAGCTTTGTTTATGACAGGAGTAGAAACTATGCTTTGAATATTATAATTGATGCATCCTAAAACTCTACTGAGACATCTCAAATTTTCTGAAACACTCAGGGAGATGTTCAGCCTGAAATTCTGTAACTTTCTAATCTCAGGATGTGCCATCGCCAACAAATGTTCAGGCAGTGAGGAAGTCAAAGAAATAGATACTGCAGACTAGGGTGTCATTTTTACACCCTCCAAAATTATTCTTCAATCTAATAAAAAATATGGCAGTGTAGAAAAGCTTGAAATATTCAGTGATAACAGAAACAAAGTTGATCACTTGATCTGAGGGGAGGAGACTTTCTGAAACAGAAACACCCCACTTGTCATTAACCCATTAATGGGGCAAACACAACTCCCAGGTGGAATCAGCTCATTGATTCCAGCCTTGCCTCTCCTGTCACACCCCCAGGGCTGCTAAACCAGGCAGGGATGAACAGATCTGGGGTTCTGCTTCGGTTCCAGGACCTGGAATCTACCTGGGAATCAACATCCATGCACTGGAGCCAGGCTGCCCAGGCCACAGGGAATAATTCATTTTCCAACATTTCCTCCTATGTATTTACCTCCTATTTGTACTTGCCAATACAATGAAACATTAGTACGTATTTTTTTAACTCTTTTGCACTGTCAGACCAACTTTTTCTTCTCTAAGAAATTCAGGTGATAAGTTGCAGAGAGAAAAATGTTAAATATTATTTACTTGGTTCTTTTTCCTCACCAAATCATCTGAGTGATACTAATCATCTATAAGTAAACACACAGGCAGCAAAATGAAAATACAACTGAACAATAATTTCTGTGAGCTGGAAAGAGGAGCTGTCAAAGTTAAGAAGGAAAAAACAGTGGTAAAGGTGCATTTCATAAATTGGTTTAATTTACGAAAAAAAGTGGGGCCAATGTGACAATTCAGCCTCTGCACAGGACAGGACAATTACAAGGCAATATTCAAAGTTTTTCTGGTGTGAATGAATCCCAGGGAAATAATAATGAGCTTTGTTTAATAGCAGAACTGATAAAGGTGATTACCAGCAGCAGGTCTCTTAACCCTGCGTGGGAGACAAGGGGAAAGGGAAGATGTGAGGAATAAGAAACAATTTTCCACTTTGTCAGGAGTTGTCTCCCTTAAGCTACTTTCCAGCAGCCTTGTCAGAAACTTCAAATAAATCCATACAGAGGAGATGTTAAATATCTACTTGTGAAATTCTGTCACTGACTCCACTCAGATGGTAAATCCTACAAAAAACTGACTTTGCACAGCCACAGCAGCAGGGAGAAATCTTCATTCCATCCACCTTCCAAACGTGATGAGCAGCTGTGAATGGAGCTAAACATCAACCCCATCCTTTTTCTTTCCTCTGAAAAAACCCCCAAACCCATAACTTATGTTGCAAGAAAGGAGAGATATCCCAGGAGCTACCTGAGCTTCTGGAAATGCACAAAATGCCTCGGACTTGGCCACGCACCACACTCCAAATGCTCCCATATTTCCACTCACTGCTGGGATTTCAGCACAATAAAAACCTGGGAATTACGGTTTTTTTTTAATAATGGGATTTTTCTCAGTCTTTGCTGCATTTTTGTGAGCTTCTTGTACCTTCAGTAGAGTTGTTATTTTAGACTTTTGAACCAAATGAAAGGTGGATTTACAGAAACAAGCTAGACAACATCACATTACAGTCCCCCACTGATTTCACTTGGCAGAGAATCCACAGCCTTTACAGAAATTAAAGGACATATCACTTTTGAGTGAAAACAAATATAAATATTCCTCTAAAATGATGTTAAAAATCTAACTTAAAACCACTAACCAAATTAATACTCCACCCTTTTAAAAAACACCACATCTGGAACTAAAATAATAAATTTTAGTCAATTTAGTCAACTTTACTGCTGGTATTTTTCTAAAATTGATTCAATAATTCTTTCTGACAGAACAAAAATCCCCATACTGAGTTTATGGCTGCTCATTGTAACTACTGCCTTCAGGAAAGCTGCCTGGGTATCTCTTGAAAATCTGATTATTTACGCTTTCAGTTCTGTTTGCTTACATTCACCACATCCACTGATGCTTTTTGTCTGCTCTAGAAGAAATGCATGAAAGGAGACTTAAAACCTATTTTCAAGTGCTGCAAATATTTAAGCAGAGGATCAGAATGCTCAGATCAGCAGTGAGGATGTGCAAAAAGGATATGCTCATCTTCTCTACAAACTTATCGTGCTCGTCCTGTGTTTTTGGGAAGTTCTCGATGTCCTTCTCCAGGCGCTGGATCTGCTGGTTCATCGAATCCAGGTTGCTCTTCAGAGTCTGGGCTGAAACTGAGGGTTTAAAAAAAAAAGAGTTTATAAAGCTTCCAGATTCCAAAAAGGGTATCAGAATGGGGGAAAAAAAACAATGTCAGTATAAATGGTCTGAAAGAGAATGATTCTGTTAAGTAGACTCATATTTTTCTGAATTACTGCTCATAAAAATCCTTCCCTTCATAAAAAGAAAGTGAAAATATCTACTGTAATATACCAGATCATCATATTTAACATTGAAATGTCACCACTTAATTCTACCATTACTTCAAATTATTCCATTTCTATTTAAATTTATGGCAAAAATTCCAATATTTCTAATATTATTATTTCTAATATTCTTTTAAATCTAATTCAAAGATTAAAAACTAACTAGAGTTCAAAGAGATTTCATCTTCTTAATGCATGTACTTGGTTAAATGAATGATCTTATTAATGCACATTTCTGTTACAGGAATGATTTGAAAAAGAGACATGGGGGAAAAAAATGAAATATTTTTCTTACATTGAGATTACACTGATTTCTGGCCCCAGAGCTGTGCTAATAGCTAAGGTAGGTCTGAATAATAAAAGCTGCTGATAATCAAAAGGAAGTAAAGGACTCAAAGTACAGTACACTAATTAAAAAACAAAAAAGAGGGGATTGTAAAGAACTCCTGCTTGCTGTGTGACAAGCTATTCTAAAGAAAAGCACTGTGATGCTAATTTGGATTAAACAACCCCTAATTGATACATCCTGTGAGCAAAAAATGACAGCACCCTTGTGAAGGTGAAGCAATCCCACATCACAAAGAAATTCCAGCTCTGGATGAGAAGTGACAGAGCCTCTGCAGAGAAATTCCTGATCCAGCTGGGGAATTCAAACCATCTGAACACGGAATATTGACTTTCATGGCAAAAATCAATGAGGTCCATTTGTCAGTCTTGTATTTATCATAAAAAGCAATTTGACTTGAGTTCCTCCTCAGCCTTTTGGAAGCCAAGCCTCTCTCCCACTCCATCTCCTCTTGCATAAATCAGTGCTCGCAAGGAAAAACAGAAAATCCCAAAACCCCTTTCCCCCAGCGCAGCCAAGAAAAGCAAATTATTCCTTTTTCTTAAGGAGTTTTTATTATCTTTTGCTGGAAAGCAGTTTGATCCAAAAGTTCCAGTAAGCACTTTCTAAAGAAAAGTGTATTTTTCTATTTTCTTGCTATTTAAAGAACAAATAGCGCCGTGACTCCATGAGATTCAAGAGCAGAAGGAAATTGAGTCACGGTGGGCTGAAAACCAGCACCCAGGAAATAAAAACCTGGTAAATAAGGAAGCTGTTCCCAGAAGAAAATCAATTTTCTGTTCTTTGTAAGTAACGACTCACATCAGCCATAACACTGATTTCACGAGCGTGTTCGGATACATAAGGCACCAATAGAGCTGTCTTTATAGCAGCCATTATCTTGATTTTATTTTCAATTTTATCCACTTTATACTGGCTACCAAAGGAACTACTAATCATGTAATCCTAGAATTACAGTGGAAGTTTTTAAAGCTTAATTCAACTGGGGTGGGAATCTATATTGACCACAGAATCCTTGTAGCTTTTAAATTCCCATTTGAGAGTTAACCTTGAAATCAACCACTAAAACACACCGAATAACACAAATTATCAAAGCTTTTAGGTTATAGTTGCATTAGTTTAATCATTTGATATTATGATCAAAGCACACATTTTTGCTTGAACTGAAGAACTTGAATTACTGTAATATTTTTATGGGCTGTTGGGGAGTTGGAGAGGGGGACAAACAGCACTGAAGGAAAATGCTGGAACTGAAAAATAAATGAGGAGGATGCAAATGGTCATTCTGTTCATAAAAAGAATAGCAGCTGGTACATAAATAGGCAACATAACAGCAAGTTTAACTGTTGGCAGCAATTTGAAAATATTTAAATGCATGGCCACACAGCAAAAGTTTACTTTTGTCTGGAATTCAAAAGCACAAAGAAATTCAGCAAGCAAAGACAAATAACTGTTAACCTTTGTGATTAAGATGGATGGAAAGTGTTTTCAGCAACACTATCTTATAAAACTAAGTTCAGAAAGCCCCAGAATTAGGAACATCCTGGCTTTGAAAGTAGGGAAGAACTCAAGCCAAGCAACAAGGATGCATCCTAAAGCTGTGCTTCCCATAATTAACTTCTATAGTCACACTCAATTAACAAAAAAATGTTGTAGAATATGCAATTCTGTTCACTTTGTTTCCCCCTAGCCCAGGCAAACGTACAAGTTTCTGTTCAAATAATTTATGAAGTTGTTGTTCTGCAAGACAAATTCCAAAAGACGACAGAACAGGGAACATATATATATAGACTATAATAAAATATCTGCATTTCCTCCCATAAACCCTTTTATTAGAGATTTACTACTTCAGTAATGTGCAAAGGAATCAACATGAATGCCTTCTACTTTCAGGGAAATTCATGTAAATTTCTTCAAACTCTTGCAAGGTTTTAATTTATGAAAGCATAAATTCTACTTGCAGCACAAAGCCATATCCTTGAAACCATTTCAAAATGCACACCCTGAACAGCCTGTCCCCTGCACTCCTCAAAGGCAAGGCTTGTTCACCTTCCATTTGCCCATCACTCCACAGGAAAATGAGGCATTTCATACAGCTGGTCTCAAAAGTGGACATGAAAGGCAGCGTTTGGCCTTCAGCAGCAGGGGCTCTTACTGACAAAGCCTCTCTGGAGCAGCCATTCCAATATTATTCCACTTAATGTTGCAGCAAGAGAGAACAACCAACTAAATCCAGTACATAAATAACTGGTGTCAAGGTAGGAGCGTGAGGCAAGTAGAGAAAATGAGGAAAACATGAAGAAAAGAACCCCAGCAGCAAGAGCCACCAGGAAAAAAAGCCCTGTGTGTAACCCCCAGACACTCAAGGATGAGCAGACCTCAAAAAAAGGGGCAGCAACCTAAAGGACGCCTGGCCATTCATTTCCTTACATTAGCAAGGATAAAAGGTTTGCCACATTTCCAAATGAAAACAAATCAGCTGCAGTAAAGAACCCACCTCACCCTCTCAGCTTCACAGGACAACAGAGACTCCCACCCACAGGGGAAAGGCAGCATTCAAGAAATGGGGAAATCTGAGAAATCAGAAGTGAGTCAAATTTGCTGACACAGGGAATAGAGAAGGAAGAGTATAAATGAGCTCAGAAATGAATGATGTGGATTCTTGGACAACAGGTTCAGAAAGATATCAAAAGTAAAAGGCAGGGATGGAATTTGTGCAGATGGTGGGGGAAACAGCCTGGAGGAAATTCAGTGTTCTCCCCAAACACCCTGTCTAAAAATGCCACATTAACCCTAAAACCTACATGTGGACCCATCTCCAAGGTCAAAGAGAGGAAAAAAGGCAGCAAAATTTCTCAGTCTGTGCCAGATTGTGTTGATGTGGCTCTTAGTTCAGCCCTAAGAAAAGCCTGGCTTGCTGACAGCACCAGCTCAGAGTGGAAAGAAATGCAGCACCTTGAACGTGCATACCTCAAACCCTGGTGACAAAAGGATTCATGAGACAAAGAGAAAAGCAGAAAAAAACCAATAACAGAAGTTAAACTCAGGCTGCAACTCGCTGCAAAATCTCTGTAACATCTAGAACAGGAGCAAGGTAAGGTGAGGTGTAATAATGCATTGTCCAGACTATTCCTGTCAGTGGCAGACCAACACCAGCACTTGGATCCATCAGTGTTGTCTCTGCACAAATACTGAATGCAACTCAATCGTGCATCATTAAACCCTGAACTGATTAAAAGATTATTTAGCATATTATTATTTAATTACAGTAGAAAATCACAGCCACTGAAGAGATGGCACAATATTATTCTGATGTGGAAGGTAATCATTTCCTTCACCTTATTATTTTCTCTGCATTAATTGCTCCTCTGGAAAAAGCCCTCAAACCAATCCTACCCACTTGTTTTGGAGAAAGCACTTGCACAGCCTGCACGCTAAGGAAGGCTTAGTGAGAGTCTGGTAGAGCAGTTTAGTCCCAGAAAAATGCTCCAAGCAGTTAATCTCACGTGGATGGCGAGCACTGGCTGCTCCCTGCAGTCAAGCTAAGCATTTTGTATTTACATTAATACAGCAATAGTGCCAAAGGTCACACTAATCCCTTCTAAAGTAAGATTGCATCAGGCTGAGAGTCCTCCCCACATCAAGAGGTGAAATGATACATTTTGATTAGGTGCACTGCCTCTTGCATAAGGAATTGCAATGGTCTCTGATCACAATGCAGAACTGGGATGGCCATGTCCACAGCTGGAAAAAATTCTGAAGTGAAAGCCAACAACATTAATTACTTCAGTAAGCAAAAGCAAGTCTGTACAAAGCAAATGAACTCATGGATTTTTAAGTCTAGACAGTATTTGTACCATCACTACATTGTAAGCATACTAACAACTATTTATTTCTTATTGCCTCAGGGCAGATGGAAAGTCTTGCACAAAGGAACAAGAGGCAGTTTGCAGGGAAATGGGTGAGCAAGGACATAATCTGCAGGAATTACAAGCATTGATTACTCAATTCAGGCCAAGTACGTTTCTATTTGTTAAAACAATAAATGTTTAAACACCTCAGGGTCAAAGGGGAAGAACAGTTCCCATCTTACCCAGCTAGAGGAGTCACCATCCTCCTCTTCCAAAATCTGGGAAAGCTTTCTGACACAAAGTCCTGGTGCTTAACAACCAATCCATCATGCAGAACAGACCTTTTCCCTGACAGGATCTTCCCTCCACCTTGTCAAGCTCAGGTGTAAGAGCAGGTGTGCCCACATGGCAATGTTTTGTTTATATCCTATTACTAGGTACTGGAATTTGATCTGAGGAAGCTTCAGAGCAGCATTTTTAACAGACAGAGTTCACTCAAGGATGTGCATTTGCACTTTTGGTTATCATGCTGACATTTCCTGTGCCAGCAGAGCCTCTGAGCTGCAGTGGAAGGGGAAGGGGCAGAGACACAGCTGTGCTCCACCTTTGCA